ACATTTTCTTCTTCTTCCACCTTTTCTTTTCTTCTTTTCCTATAACAAAAGTAGGGGGGTTCAGCCCCTATATTTTTTGAATTTTCTTTCCTTTGTTCCTTTTCTTCTCATAAAATGTTGATTTTCTAAACTTAAAACATGAAATTTATACTTCTCTTATGAAAATTATGGATAATTATTAAGGAAAGATGGTTGTGGAACCTAGGGAACTACCCTAGGTTATATGGTTTTACACTTTTACTTAAAAAAATCCATCGCCTAGGCGTCGCCTAGCCTCGCCCTGGTGCCTTCAAAACTATGGTCTACTACCTTACTATGATGTGTTCACATGGTACGAAACCTTTTTTGGGTGAAGACTATGAATATTTTCAAAACCTTCTTAGTAACTGATTTTTTTAGAGCCTGGACCAAAATAGCATAGTCATTAAGAACAAAGGAAAGAATCAGGATGGATTGGAAACCCCCAGAAGGCAACAAAGTAAAACTAAATTTTGATGGAAGCTCTTCTGGAAACCCGGGTGTGGCTGGAATAGGGTGGGGGTTATTAGAAATTCAGAGAAGTGGATATTGGCTATCTTCTTAGGACCAATTGGCTTTGGAAATTCTTTGATGGCTGAACTGATGGCTTTATTGCAAGGCCTCAGATTAGCTAGGCAGTTGGGATTTAGGATGATTGAGGTGGAAGGAGATTCACAAGTAGTCATATCCTGAGCTAAATCCAATAGGAATATTCCTTGGTCCCTAAAGAATATTCTAAGGGTAGTGGAAACGATTGCAGAAGAAATAGTGGCTGAATTTAAATGGGTTAGTAGTGTAAATGGTTTAGCTGACACCTTAGCTAAACAAGGAACTGCGAGACAAGGACTGTTTTGGGCATCCTTGTAATTTGGAATAGCAAAGTGAGCTAAAAAGTTGTACTTATCATTTCTTCTTTCCAAAGTTTAATAAAATCATTTTTCTACTGATTGAAAAATAAATAAATAAATAAAACACTAACATGCTATCAATCAAAAGAAAAACCAAATCACCACCCAGTGAGTGCATGCCTGGGTGATTTGATTTTGACGAGTTCATGTGGTTGCAACATTTTCTTGTGACCCCCCACTAAGATTTGGTTTCGATTAGCCACATGGTGAGTGCATGCTTGTTGTTGCTACCCCAAGTTGTACATGAACTACCTGCTATCATATGATGAAATAGAGACTAATTCCGGGATTCACTACCATACTAGATAGGGCTGCTCACAAAATAGTAGAAACCGATCAAACCACCAAATCGGCCTGACTCGACCTGATTTAGTCGGTTCTCAAAATAATTCAGTCATTTTCGGTTTGAAAAATAGTAGAATCCGACAGTTCGGTTCAGTTATGGGTTATTGTGTTATAAACCGAACAAAAGCCAATCCGATTGACTACTTTTTACATCTATCTGTTGTATTAGTGGGACAGAGGAAAATGTAGCCTTGTTATTACTTTTTAATTTAGACTCTTTTTATGATTTGACTTATTTTATATTTAAAAATTGTCAGCTGCCCAACATTCTCTCTCTTCATTCTTTTCTCCCACTTTCAATTTCTCAATTTCCGATTCTAAAAAAAATGAAAAAGACAAAACTCAAAACTCTAAGTCCTACTACCTAGGGTCTGACATCTTAGGCTTATAGATGTCAGTTTTATCACATAAAATTCTAACAAGACAGTTTTCGTACTAAAGTGAAAAGTTTTACCTCTAGTGGGACCCATGTAATAACAAATTGAAGATTTGTCATTTGACAGTAGAATACATAATGATACACTTTCTTTCAGTTAACCAATTAAACTGACCGAAAAAATTCAAAATCAGTTTAACGGTTTTACATTTTTATGGATCGGTTTTGGTTGACTAAATAATCAACCCGACAGTGCCAGTTCGGTTGAAAAAAGTAAGTGAAATCGAACCAAACCAACCCGTGTACAGCCCTAATACTAGAATATCAAAAAACCCAGACATGCTATAAGTCAAAGGATAAACCAAATCATCCCATGAGTACATGCTTGGGTGATTTAGCTTTGACGAGGTCACACCGTCATAACAATTTCTAGTGATCATCCAATAAAACACAAACTTTCTTGCTATCGATCAAATGAAAAACCAAATAACCTAGCAAAGATATGTTTGCTATTGCTACATCAAATGATACAAGAACAGCCCACTATCATATAAAATAGAGACTACCTCTAGGATATACTACCTAACCATAACAATCAGGTAACAACAAGGTATCTTGACATGTATAGTGACACCTAGGAGATAAGGCGCTTGTGGTTGTGGAGGGTCTCACCTCACTTATTTTCCTAGATTTTTTTTTTTACATGGTGCTGTTGGATACTAGTTTTTTTTTTATTATTTTTCTTATTTGCTAGGGTCCAATCGAGATGTATACTATACCTGAATTAATAAGCATGGAAGTATTCAAAATTTTGTCCGATCAACACATTGATTTTCTTCCTTTTCTTTCATCCTTATTTTCTTTTCTTCTTTTCCTAGGACAAAAATGGAGGCTCGATCCCTCTTTTCTTTCTTCCATTTTTTTCATGAATATGTTGATTTTCTATTTCTTAAATGAAGTTTATACATTTTTTATGACAATTATGAACAATTAATAGTGAAAGATGGTTGCTGCTTGCTATGAAACCTAGGGAATTACCCTAGGATGTATGAATTTTATTCAAAAAATCCCATCGCCTAGGCAACTAGACGTCAAGGCACCCCCAGCACTGCTAACCTCACCTCGGCTCCTTGAAATCTATGGGTGTATTTTATCGAATGTCTATTAATACAAGAAGTTCAGTCAGTTATGTTCAGCAAAGGTAGTGCGAATATAAATGGACTATGGCCCTATTGTTGAATGTCCCACCAGGAGATCTCCAAGGTAGACTATGATCCAGTATGGCTGGTTATAGGTAACTCCTCAATCTTTTTCATCTTTTGGATTCTCTATGGTATTTTCATGCTATGGAGTGCATAGATGAATATGTGTCATGTAATTGGATGGATATTATGGCCAAGGAGGTCTCCTAAATAGGATCCATCATGCGGTTGCCTCAATACATGTATTATTGTCATTTGAATAAAGTTCTCTTATTCAATAAAATCTATGATTATTTAACTAGCTGGGACACTATATGCTGCATCAATTTTACCAATGCAGGCAACTATTGAAGGCATATTCTGAATGTGAAAACAGTGCTGACATTATTGCTGTCCAAAATGATTGGCTCTCTCAAAGTTCAAGAGTTCCAGATACCATTCCAGATGCAAATGGTACACCTTTGTTGCAAAGCAAGCGCCTCCATTTTCTAATACTATAAATAACCTTAATTACTACTCGTAAAAGGAAAACTTAATTGCTTGCTTGTACTATTTTCAGAGATTCACTAGTTTAATTCTTTTTTGGTAGGCTAGATTTTAAATTGGAGATTATAATCCCTCATTATGCATCATTTAAGCATTCTGGAAAATATTGAAGTTGTCTTCCTATTCACTTGTTTTCTGGCAGGGACTAACTTGGTACCTCCTAGTAAGGATGCCTGCTCTGATGAAGATTCTGAGGATGGACTCCCACCACTGGAAGAGAATTTGAACCACTTGAGATTGGAGCAAAGTGAGGATGAAAGTGAGTGAAGAAAATTCAATTACCTGTTACACTTGCAGGGTGAGGAGAAAAGGAGAAAAGGGCCAATGGAACATGATTTTTTTTCTTCAGGTAAAACAAAGGGGCATGCAATTCTTTAGGTGAAAAGGCCCAAATGGTCTATTGAAATGTATTATTAGTTGATTTCTGAATGCTTGTGAAGGGTTTCTTTGCAAGTGAAAATGTAATTTTATATCAAATCTTTCCAAATTAACGAGCGTCTTAGCTCATGGGCTACAGAATACGTAATTGGTGTGTAATTGGTGTTTGGGTCCCCAGTATGCCTTGTATCCCTTATCTAGAACTAGAAGATTGAAACACGCAATAAACAGGTCTCACCTTGGAGATTAACTGGGTACATAATCACTGTAAAACATATGGACAGTTAGAAAAGTCCAGTACAAAACAATTGATGCTTGTTTAGACTGTAGTCTTTTAACTGCAAAAAGGAGATAAATCCTTAAAATAAGGAATGCCAAATGCAGAGGGATTCGTCCAAATCTTGTAGCCCTGGACCCGTTTGGGAGGATTTTCACGCAGTGGGATCCACCTGAAAAGCCAAGCAACATAAGCAATGTTTGTTAAAAATTACGCAGACCCAAATTCTATTCGCTGTACAATCTAGATATCCTGAACGAGCATTTGGGCCTCCACAGGAATTGAAATTGTAGCAGAATTGAACATGTTGCGGAGATTTGCGCAACCGGAGTCTCAATAGTCAATAAATATACGCTACAAAGATTTCTGCAAACAAAAGGCTGACCTGGGCATACCCTCTTGTGAGTTGTGACTAGGCAGTGATGAAAAACCATCAAGGTTTATCATATTGACTTAATAACCTGCACGCTACTCATTAAGAAGGATCCATCAATTCTAAAGCTTTATTCCTATTAGTCCATGAACACCAAGCAACAATTGCAAACTAAGACACCAGCTGATTGGTCTCTGCTTTAGACAACCGACTCTCGGTCCATTCATATCATTGTGGCTTTGAGCGTGCAAACGCAGATTTGACCCAAACCAAGCTGCCTTGGCAAGGTCACAGTACAACAAGGTATGCTCTATTTATTCCTCATCTTGGTTGCATATGGGTCAATGCAGAGAGATTTTCTTTCTTTTTCAGAGATGTTTGTTGACAGCAACACTGCCATGCAAAGCTATCCAAAAAATGACTAGAGGTTGGGGGTGAGTTTCCATATTGTCTTCCACTCTCTACTATGAGAAGCTTGCCTAGAGTTATAACACCCAATCCTAGCTTCTTTTAGGTGATTTGCAAGGTGGTAAGCAGACTTTCTAGGCTGCTTACCAATCCTAGCAGATCAATCAATTTGGATTCTACACCTTGAGAGACCTGGGATCGGAGATAACACAGAGACCCAACTTACTGGTAATTGGTAAAGACCCTTTCAAGAGAATTTCTCTACTACCCATGATAGCGAGAAGGCTTCTTGGATTTTTTTTAGCTTCAAGAAAGTGGCCATTAGGATGGTATTTAGCTTGGACAATCCTTGCTTTGCAAGGAGGGCGATGTTAAAATTAATAGGGTCACAAAATCCTATACCCCTTTCACCCTTGCTTTACAAAGAGTGGACCACTTGATTTGATGCATTATCGCTCCATTCGCTTATTGATATCTCGCGGGGAGTAAGTTGGTCATCTGGGGTAATTGATCAATTTCTCCATTCGCTTTAGCACTGCAGTTTGTCCAGATAACTCATGGCCGGGAATTATTTGTTTGGGTTAACATGTTATCTGGATACCGAAAGAATAACTTTAAAATGAGTATTCCATCAAAAGGAACGTTGCAACTTCAACTAAGCAGTTGAGCAAAAGCCCTCGCAGAGAGACAGGCTAAGCTTTTCGCCTTTGTTGGTGAAGGACACATTTAATTTTTTTTTTTTTATATATAGAGGGGAGTCAAAATCACCGGCCTTTTTTTATATCTTGTGAAGGGCTACACAACAGGGTAACCCACCCCTCAATTCAGGTGCAGGCGGGATTCAAACCCAAGTTTTAACTACAACTAACAGAAGACCTTACCAACCAACCGATTCTGGTTGGCAACTTGCCAAAACCACCGGCCTGGTGATTATGATACTCCCATTTGATGCATGATTTGTTCATTTGAGTTTGGTTAACTTTGACAGACATGGGCTGCTTGAAGCATGAATTAGGATGCAATCAATCAGTGTAAGCTTTGGACTCCGCTTCAATTTGCAGGAGGCGTGTGCCTCGGTAGAATGTAAAATTGTAATGGGGACAAACGCAAACCTATGTAATGGTCATGCTTTCAGTTCAGCCCCTTGTTGCACGCCAATGCTATTCCAGAATGTTGATGCTTCGTGTAGAAGCAGCAAAAAGCTAAAAAAGTTGGGGTGATCATGAAAAATCGAATGGGTGACATCGAACCAAAAATTCTGGTTAATTAAATTGATTGATTCAGTATTTTTAAAAAATGGAAGGTATTGATTTGGTTTCGATTAATCAATATAAAAATCTGATTGATAAAAAGAATTAGATGACACTCAAAGGACATTTGTATTTTTCAAATGCTACTTAATAATTGGTTAACAGACTGGTTAGCAATAAGTGTAGAATTGACACGTTTTAAAAGTTTAGGTATTAAATTGTCGTATTTTAAAGTTAAAGGATCAAAGTGACACTAAGCCCAAAGTACAATATACTGATCGGAAATTTTCACTTATTATATATAATGTATGAAAATCAATAAACCGAACTGATCAACTGATTAACCAATTGGCTTTAATCCGATTTCCGTTACCTGTTTTTCAAAAACCTATACTACCAATGCCGATTTATTTTTAGGGCTTGTTAGATTGAGGCCATGAAACTTGGGCCTTCATCCTTCTTATTGGCGTGGAAATATTTTATTCAGAAAAGGACACGTGCGGAATTTCGTTTTTTCTTTTTACTCTCATCCTTTCATCGTACTGGGCTTTTTGGGTAAGCGGTAGGTTTCGTGGTAGGAGATGGTAAATTGGTAAATAAGATGTATTGCCAGCAGCTAACGTAAAATTCAGTAGAGATGACTACGTGGCAAATATGTAGGGCTCATTTGGGGTTGCCACATGGTTAATGTTACAGATTTGTTGTCTACTTTGATCTTTACTACACGACCCGCCTAGTAGAAGATTTTTTGTTTCTTCTCTTCAGGGGTGTTTTTGGTATTGCACATTTGCACTTGTAGGGTGAAATCTCATATATCCCTCCAGTGGCCGAATGGCCCGAATCAACAAACTCGCGCTCTTCTCTCTCTATCTCTCTCCGCAGCGATTAGAGAAAGCCCGTCGGATAGAGGCCAAACACACAGACAAGAGACTACACGGAAAAACCCTAAAGAAGGCCATTTCTCTTTAGTTTTTCTGCAAGATCCTCTTGTTTTCTTGTTTCATCTCTCCCCTTTTTTTATTCATCTTCTTGTTTTGCTTTTTCCTGTATTTGGTTTCTTTTTTTCTTTCTGTTTTTCTTTCAGGGACACGAACCAGCGAGTTATACGGTGTTTGGTCTTGTGTTGGAGCTCTAATGTTGCTCTTCTGAGTGTCTTTTATGTGGGTTTTTATTTGTTTTCTCTAATGGTTCGTTTTCTCTTCTGAAATTAGGGTTTCACGCCTCACTTCTTTCTCTTAAAGGAAGTGACGATCTTCGAGAGGTTGCAATTGCGAAGCTATTAATTTGTAAGTTCTCTATTAATATATCGTATTTGCAGCTTTTCACCTTTACGTGATCAACGGCTTTCTCTCCCCGTCTCCCTCAATGTATTTGTGTGTGTGGGCGTGGATCCTGGAGCATTGAAACTTGTAATGCGTAAATTAGGAAATTAGGTCTTCTTTATTTTTACGTTTTTAGCTTTGTTTTGTGCTGTGGGTTGTTGGTATTTTATGTGTTTCAGCTTGGTTCTGGGAGTAGGTTTTTCTTTTGGTTTCTTTTTACTAAAATTTCTATATGGGTTCAACAAGGTTGCTCATTTTATAGGGTTAAAATATTTAAGGTTATTTTACTGTGTATGTGTTGCTTGCGTTCGTTTCTTTTCCCCAGCTCTTTTTTTTATGCTTTTATCATTCCTGCCCTGTAACCAATTTCCTTTCGACTGATGAGGAGTCGCTATTCTGACACCAGAACATTAGTAGATGCATTTTTTGGATTCAGCATTTGTTAGATTTGTTAATTTTCTCCATTTTTTGCCCTTCTATTTAGTTCCTGGAAATGGAATTACGTTCAATTCGTTTTCTCAGTGTTATCTTGAAAACCATTATTTGGGTATACTTGCCGATTTGTGCTGACTAAGCAAGGATCTCTTTTTTTTGTTTTATTTTTATCTGGATATATTTTTAATCTTCTCTGACTCTTTTTAAGATTTCTATTTGGTATAATTAGATTTGTTCATACTGATTTCACGCTACTTCAATTATTAGGATTGGAAAGACACTGGGTTCAGTAGGCACAACTAAGAAAGATGTCAACACAGTATCCTGTACTTGACAATAGGCCAATTGATCAATGGAAGGTAGCAGAGCTAAAGGAAGAACTTAAGAGGCGGAAAATCACAACAAAGGGGTTGAAGGATGACTTGATAAAACGTTTAGGTGAAGCAATTCGGAATGAAAGAGAATCTGCAAAGGAGGGAGTTATTAATGGTCTTAGTAGTGATAATGAACCCAAGTTGAAGCCTGAAGAGAAGGGGACTGAATCAGTTGATATTCAAGTTGTTAAGGATGGTCAGGATAATTGTGAAAATAAAGCCCCAGAGGCAGAAAAGGATACTTCTGAGGTTGATGTTGTTGATAGTGCTGCTGAGACGGTTGAAGAGAAAGCTCAAGCTGAGGAATTGATGGGAAATTCTGGTTCTGTTATGCCAGTTGATGAACCACCAGTTCTTGCAGTGTCCGAGGAAGCCAATATCACAGTCAGCCAGGGTGGGGAAACCCAATTAGCATCCAGCATTCAGGAGTCAGAGAACATTGAAATCAAGATGGAGAGTGAGGATACAAAGCCTCTTCACAAAGGTGCTCTTCCCGACGTGTCCGGTCCAAACAATCAGGTATCTGAGGTCAGCCCTGTTTTAGGGTCTCAAGTAAAGTCTGAGTCTATTTCTACTGATTCTGTGTCAATTATTGAAAAGAATGAACTAAAGGATAATTTGAATACTGATAATTTCCCTTTAGAACTAGAAGTTGTTAAGCCGGAGATGGTGCAACCATCATCCAGTGATGTTCCTCCTAATGATGGCGATGTACATCAACTGGATGATCAAGAGCCACGTGAGAACCAGGGCTCTATTGAAGATATTGATGACACCAATGCTCCAAGTGTTGACCTTGGGAAGAATAACAATAGTGCAGATGTGGGGTCCTTGGAAAAATTAAATTTAGACCGAAGTTCAGGAGATGATTCCATGGAAGAGGATGTATTGGAAAGTAAGCAAATTGATTCAAATCATAATTCTGATGAAGTGGGAGATAGGACTGATCTAACTAAAGTGCATGTTGTAAAAGAGGAGAATGCTATTGATGCTGTGGGGGCTGGTTCCTCTTCTGAGAAGAAGGAAATTCCTGCTGAAATAAAAAATGCTCCTTCTGTGCCTGTCGAGAAAAGAAAACTTGAAGGTACACTTACTTCTTTGTCATTAGAACATTCATTTGTTTCTTTTCGCTGGTCCTTCCATTGAGGATATATGTACCCTGTTTTTCTGATTTTCTTTTCTAAGTGTTCTTTTGCTTTGGGTTCTGGTTTATCTTTTTTTTATGATGTTCAGACTTCCCTATATATTGTGAATCCAGATATAGATTTCTGATTGTGAAATGAATTTATCGTTGAGCCTCAATAATCTAATGCTTAAATAAATATTGAACTATCCTTTTATAGGTGTTATCTACAATTAATGTGGTTGGGTAGAAAGAAAGACCCTCGGGATAAACTGAAGGTCGAGTTTGTAGTGGTGGTTAATTAATGAATTTTGATGTTTTGCACTTCACATTATCTTTCCACAAATGATTGTAGTGGTGTTAATTTTCAAATGGACTACCTCCCAACAAAAGGCTTTAACTTTAGGTGGCACTGGACCTTTCCAAATAACAATAACCAGAAATACATTGGGGGAATGTGACAAGGTAAGAGTTCAGAAAAAGCTGCACACAAAAAAACAATCCATTTGGATTAAGGGTCCATACCCTTAAGACATGATAGGAGGATAAAAAACGACACCTTCAAGGCTTCCAGCAAGAACTCTTGAAAACCCAAGATCTCATGAAACATCAAGCTCTGTTAAGGAAGTAAGATCTACGATACCATACCCTTAAGACATGATAGGAGGATAAAAAACGACACCTTCAAGGCTTCCAGCAAGAACTCTTGAAAACCCAAGATCTCATGAAACATCAAGCTCTGTTAAGGAAGTAAGATCTACGATACCATACCAATTTCTCTTTGTTAAATGAAAAGAGAGTATAGGGAGGGAAACCAGTCTTTTAAAGGCGTGCTCCCTCATCATCCAAGCCTTGTCCCAACTATATGGCATGAGTTACATGAATCCTGTTTCGCCATTCTGTTCTGTTCAATGCCATACCCGTCATTAAATTATGGGCCCCCAAAGTTGTTTTATCCCCTACTGGGTTTAAACTTATATGAAGTTGAAACAAGGGTTTAAGGGCACAAATAGATTTCTAATGAGAGGCAAGTGTAGCTCTGCATGCTAAATTAGTTTCATCACAGTTTGCCATAACTTGTCTCTGTCCAAGGGGAACCACCACAACTTCTTACTCAACAAGGAGTTCCTTAAGGTCAATCTTTCTTCCTTCTTAACTTGGAACAATTCCCCCAACTAGTCAAATGATCCTTTTTAGAATCACCAAGCTCTCTTTAGAGTCTCTTATTATCTCTCCAACTTTTGTGCAACTAGGGCAGGATTTTTTTTTTTTTGATAGGGTGTGAATTTAAAAGCTGAGAGGAAATCAGGAAATATATTGTGATATTTTCACTGGTGAACTTAATCAAAATAATTCTGCCACCAGAGATATAATTTCTTTTTTCTTGGTGGCCTCTTTGTAAATTTGTCCACTACAAGGTTCCAAAGGCTGCATGATCTAGGGTTGCCTATCCAAGGTTGCTACTAGCTAAAATGCATCTCTGACACAGCACATACCAGAATTGCAGTGTATTGTTCTGTTGCCCCTGTTTAAATTTTATTCCTGTCAATTTACTCTTTGCCAAATTTATTAGCACTCTCCAAGCCACTATCCTCACATTAAATGATTTCATCATCTGCAGAAGTTGGAATGATTAATTGATTACTACTGTACCTTCCAAACATTTTATTATTAAATTATTTAATCAACTAAAAGACAAAGCAACAAGCCATTCAATTCAATCACTTCAGCTGCTATCAAATGGCTCCTTATTACAAGTCTTCTAGGTTCAGCCTGTTGATGAAACATTATGACTGCCTTACTTCATGCCACTGTTATTTATTGAAAGAATGACATTTGTTATGGCTCATTGTTGTCAAACTAGTTGGAATTTGTCCAGCCCTCAATTTTGCAAGTGTGCTTAAAGGTAGTTAAACTCGTATATAACTGCTAGGGTGTTGGTAAGGTATTTCAATGTAACGGTTGAAGATACTAATTTGCTTAGCTTGTAAAGTCTGCAATTCTACATACATTCTGTCATGTGGTGACTACTTGTTACCATTTACTAGATATTATCTATGATACAAAATGTTGGTGATATAGCATATTCAAGTGACTCTTGATATTTGAGTGAATGGTTTCCTCTCAAGAGTGGCCTTGGCCATGTTGTGGACATGGACACTGGAGTTGGAAACCAGTGTGTGTCCTGGCGTCTGACTCAGCAAGATGGAAAAAACATGGGCTCATGGACATGTCTATGGAAAGTTAATACTATTAAAATAGTCCCATCTGTTTTGAATTCTTATATGATAAACAGTTATGCATATAGAAAAAAGGTTTAGATATCTTTGTTGCCCAAGGCCATATCTTTGTTACTTCATTATCCACAATTCATATTTCAACCACATTGATTTGTTTTCTTGTAATTAGAAATAATTCTGGCTGATGGTTTTTATCATGAGCAATGTTTACTTAAGATGGAAATTGAAGATGACATTGTGTATTTGTGTGTATGCTCTGGTGTATGTGTGGCAAATCTTGATTATATATTGTTTTCTTCTGTTGGTGTTAATCGCGGCTGTCTTCTCAGGGATGACAATTTGTCCATTTGATGACCAAGTCAAACTAAGAGATGCAGTTTCTGAGTATTATAAGAAATTAACTAGGTTACTTCACGGCAGCCTGTGTGATGTATTTTCTTTTCCTTTATTTTTTGAGTCTATATGCCCCCTTTGAAAGGCTTCTTTCTCTTTGGTGCTCCATTTTGTTCCTGAGTTGAGAGAAAAAAGTAACAGACCTAAAATATCAGTTAGAAAACTTTCTTATGGATATGGATTTGTGGAGGATGGGGATGCTACTCTTCATATTCTAAAGTCCTTGATAGGGTTGTGGATATAGATATTTCATCCACTGCCTTGGAGCGTTCTTTTATCCAATAGCTGATGTGTTGTCATTAGCATCATCATTATTTGTCATTGTCACTGTTATTATAATTCTAGCACTACTACCCTTGTCGTTACACATACAACCAGTATGATTCTTTTTGTTTTGTGGATTAGTGGGTGTTTGCATGTGTATTCCTCACTTTTTGTTTTTCTTTTGACTTCTTGATTAGAATGACAATATGTAGCATGGCCTTAATAGCCATTTTTTATTAGAAATGATATACTGAAAAAAATGAATAGTAATCATTACTAATTGAATGTAAGTTTCATCAACAATTACAACTAGCACTAAGTAGATGGTTGCTACAACTAACATAATATGCACTAGTTATAAACTTATAATCATTAAATTCGTACTATAATTTACCCTCTGTCTTGGCAATATTATGCATCTATCTAGGATCTTTCATTTTTTTTAATCTTGATAAACTCACTATTGAGTATGAAATTAAATATCAATTAGCTTATCTATGTATAAAGGAGTAAATTCTACTTAAAATCTCATTTTTTTACTGCCATGGTATTGATATTCTATATGGACATTAAGAATTGGTGTTATCTGTGTGGACAGATAAAGAAGTGGTTGGGAATAATGAGCCTCCAAAGAGGCAACGTCGGTGGAATTCTGAAAGCATCAAAGTTCCTGAAGTGCAAACTTATAGTATCACCCCATCTACAACACCTAAGGATTCTTCCCAGCCCACTTTTCAGAAGCGCAACTTAACCAGATCTGGCTCAACACTTGGCGAAGAGGCACCAAAGGAGCGAGTTGGTGAGAACTGCACTTTCATTGTTTTATATTCAATGATTCTTGGTTTAAAAAAAAAAAAAATTCAACACATCTGAACTGAATTGTAATTCCTTTATATTGGTAGTTCCGCCATCACCAAAGCCCCCAACAACTTCCCTTAGAATCGATCGTTTCCTTCGGCCATTTACCCTGAAAGCTGTTCAAGAGCTTCTGGCGAAAACTGGAAAAGTATGCAGCTTCTGGATGGACCATATCAAGACCCATTGCTATGTGACGGTATAGCTTATGCACCCACCTGCTGTCTGACGCGTGGATTATTATTTATAAACCTGTGCAAATTTTTCTTTTGGAGCAATTGAATTAACCAGTTTTTGATGGATCCTTGGTGCCTGCAGTATTCATCAGTGGAAGAAGCCACAGAGACTCGAAATGCTTTGTACAACTTGCAATGGCCTCCAAATGGAGGGCGGCTTTTGGCGGCAGAATTTGTTGATCCCCAAGAAGTTAAAATGCGGGTGGAAGCTCCTTCACAGTCTCCAGCAGCACCTGTCAGCACCAACACAACATCTACTGCTCCTACATTCCAGCCCCAGCCCTCCCCTCGCCAACACAATCTGCGACAACAACTTCCTCCCCCACCTTCACTCCCACCTCCACCACCACCACCAACAGTGTCTGATCCAACACCCATACCAGTACGGGAACGACTTCCACCCCCACCACCGCTCCCAAAGAAGCCAGATCCGCCAATAGTTACCCTTGATGATCTCTTCAGGAAGACGAGGGCTACCCCTAGGATTTACTACCTACCATTGTCTGAAGAACAGGTTGCAGCAAAACTTGCAGCACGCAAGAATCTCAAGGAGTGAAAGGATGGTGTGATGGTCTTTTGCATTAATGGGTTAGCTTTATGTAAAACTGTATGAAGATACATTTGATTAATCAAGCCTTTGCAGATCTAAATGAAGGCATGAAATTACCTGTGCAAGTTTGTGCATAAGGGATCGGGAGGTTAATGATGTTAGGTTATCTGTACAGCTGTTAAGATCGAGTTATTATCTAGAGATTGAGCTGTCATTGGTTGCCTGATAACCTTTTTTTTCTGAGAGGGAAAGTAGTTTGGGTTGACTAATAGTGCCATCTTTTGTTGTTTCATTATGTAATGAGTTGCATTATTGGTGGTACTTAAATTGGTCTCTTTTTCCCTTTCAAATTTAATTTTAGAGGGTAGAGAGGTGGATGGAATCGTTAGGCTTCTGGGTCCTTGTGGTCGACGGCGGATGGTGCTTCTATTAATCGTGTAGAGTATGATCGGAACTCGCAGATGTACCGACGACTCTGGATCACCTGCCCACGAGAACTCTGCCCATCTCTACCCACAATATAATTGGGTGGTGGTATGACCTATCAAAGGGTCCTATAATTATAATATTCATTGACTCATTGACTGACACTCGGTGTCCGAAAGAGAAAACAATGGAGTCCCTTTTAATGATATGCACGGTGAAATCCGTTTGAGATGAGCCACTGGGTATTTTTGCGTTAGCTAAGGTTATCTGTGGATGAATGGTATATACCGACCATTAGGAATATGAGATATAGGTATTGATCATTTTTAGACTTCCCGTCTCTATCTCGACCCTATAGATAAACAAAGCGCGGGCATGTCTTGGCTTGATTTGATTAAAATATTATTAATTTCGAGTGGTTCGAGCTCGAATTGATTAAATATTTAATGAAATAAAATACATTCTATAATATATACATACATATTATATGTAGGGCAGATTACAAAGCCCCCCCCCCCCCCYCCCCCCTTATATGGTTTATGGGGTCCGTGACAAAGACCCCTTGTACTATGACCATGAGACAGATTCCCTTCCGTTAGCCTTTTTTTGAAAAAGTTCAGAAGTCCACCGTGCAATATTTTGTAAGTTCCATACTACCTTTGTAATAACTATTTGGACAATTTTAACCATCTTTTCATGTTTTATGCGTTTTTTCATCTTATTTCTCCCTTGCAATCAAAGGATTTCTCCTTCGTGACCAAGCTCCGAGTTACAGTAGCAAGGGACATCTCCCTTACAAGTTTTAGTCGCACGGGATTTCTTCCTCACGCGTTTCAGTTGCAAGGGACATCTTCCTCACTGTATTGGTGCGATCTCCAATAGAGAACAGACACTGGCGATCTGAGATGAATTACATGAGGGTTTTTGGTGGGTGTCTATTTTTGCCATTTTTAAAATGTTAACTCGACTTGTGGAGGGTATTTTCGTCAACTGATACCTTCTGTTAGCCGAGTTAACAGGGAAGGGGTTTTTTGTCTCATGGTCATAGTATAAGGGGTCTTTGTCGCAAAACAAAGTACAAGAGGGTCTTTGTCACAGACCCCATAGTACAGGGGGGGGGTCTTTGTAATTTGCCCTTATATGTATTACAAGCTTTCGAGCCAAACTTTTTATTGTTTTAGCTCGAGCTTGAATAATTAATCAAGCTTACAAGTTATACCAAGGTATGAATTCCATTTGAGCTCGATTAGAATCGAACACAAATTGAGCCTAATCGAATTTGAGCCCAAATAATTCGATTGAGCTTGATTTGTTTATAGTGCTAGCGTGGATAATTGATAGATGAGGAAACATTTGGTAAAAAATGCTTAACTTCAGATTTCGAAATAGTGGTTGGGCTTGGACCAAGTTTTCATAGGCTAATTTCAGCATTTTGAGGCTCCCTAAGCTTGGCCTGTCTTGCATCTAGGGTTGGGCCTAGCTGACCGTTTGAACTTGTACTATATATTAATAAAATTGTATATTTAGAAATTAAAATTTAGTTTAAATTTATATTTAAGATTATATAAAATAATATATAGTTTATTATATATTAATGCACTAGTGGAAGGATGCACATGTTTACATAAAAATAAAAGGATGAAAAATATTCTAATAACTTTTATGGGCTAGAGGTGAAGCCAAGGCAATATTAATATTATATTTTTTAATACATTATCATCATTATCCAAGCCTTATCCCAACTATATGGGGTTGGGTACATGAATCCTGTTTTGCCATTCCTTTGATGGTGTATCCATTGTTAAATTATTAGTGCTCATATCATTTTTTGCTACTTTGATCTATTCCCCTTTGGTCTACCCCATCCCTTCTAGCCCATATAAATTTCGTGTCGTTTCTTCTTATGGGTGCTGTTAAAGGTCTTCCATGCACATGACCAAGCTATCTTAGTCTACTTTCTCTTATATTATCACTAGTGTTTGAGCATGGTTTGGTTCGGTTCAATTTTGAGGCAAAACCTGAAATCTAGCCTATAGGGGGTCAGTTCCAGATTTTTGGAACCATAACCTACATTGTTAGTATCAGTTCTAAGGGTGTATCGCCCTATATCGATGCTTTTTTTATGTTTTATTTTTTTTTTAAACCGGTTCAGAGGGGTCGGTTTAAGTCCTAGCTACCCTTTGAACCATGGTTTGACCCGATACAACCCCTGGAGGGGCATATCGGGTAGCCATCAGTCGATTTCAAGAATTTGAAACTATACCTTACTTGGTAATAAATTGGATAGGATCGATTCAAGGCCACTTTGAGGTTGGTTCCATTGGATTATGGTTTCACCCATAAGTACCATCTCTTGTAGCTACTCCATGATTCCTTTAAATAACTTCATTTTTTACCCTTTGCTTTATAAATTTTTCCATTTTCTATCTTGGATATACATTTGTACCACACTCATTTTTGTGCATGTTTCTTGAACGCCCAACACTTTGCTCCATATAGCATAGTTGGCTTTCTACTAAATTTCCCAATCCTAATTGTACACCAATGTATGTTTGTGTTATTACTAAGCTTACATGTCGTATTTATATTTTATTCCTATTTATTTAAAACCTCTTTTTTAATATATAATATGATACCGTACAGTATGTATTGATACCTTGAACCATCTAGTATTAATCAGTATTTTCAAACATTAAATAATTTGCCAATTAGATTCAACTCTAATCCACTATATTACATGAAAACCATTTAATATTGTGTGTGTGCCTACATGCATGCATGTATGTAAGGATTGAAATATTGATATGATATGTCTGATACGGGGTGTATCATATTGGTATCATTAATGTCTTGCATGGGATACGCTATCACTGTATATGTATTTGTGTCAGTCGTGCATATCCCACCGATATGGGTCTATATCGGTTCGTATCACACTGTATCGACCAGTACATATTGATACGGACCGATATAGAATGATACGCCGCCTATGAGATGCGAATGCGCATATTCTTCGGAAAAAGAAAGATGGAGGGAGTCAAACTCGCGTCAAGAGCTAGGGGAGCTTAACCTGTGCCTATTAACCAACACGCCACTCCGCCTTTTGTGTTTATGAGTAAATGAATATAACTTTTATTTGTTTATTACATGAATGCAACTCAAATAAATAATATATATTATAGTTAACTCCAATTAAAAAATAAAAAAAAAGTAATATTTAAAATCAGTATTTTATAAAATAAAAAAATAAAAAATATATCAAATCCATATTTATATCAAAATATTATTTGAATCTCAAAAAATTATAAAAATATAATATTAATAGGAGAATAATTATTTTAATATTAACATTTATAAATTTGAACATGATATATATATATATATATATATATATATATATTAATTTACATTGCATAAAATTATATTTATTATTTAGGAAATAAAAAAATTGTTTACAAAATACTCAAGAATATAATCTTAAATTGAACCTATCAAATCTACTAATCTACATTTATACCAAAAAAATATTTTTAATTAAAAATTATAGGAATAAAAATATAATAATGGAATAATCATTTTAAAAGTCAAAAATTGTGAATTTGCATATGATGTGTATTTTAGAAAATTTAATAGATTTGATATATTTTAAGTTGAGATTATACATTTTATAAATTATTATGGATATTTTAATTTACATAGAGAATATAATATTTGGTTGACCTTTTTGTTAATGTAATAAAGTAAAAATAGTAAAACCGAAAATAATTGATATAATAATTAAAATATAATAGGAAAATATGTTTTGAATTTTGGATTCTTGATTGATACATTATCAATAAAATTGTATGATATTTGTGCATCATATTATATTAATTGTAATATTTTTTTTCATATACACCATTAAAATACACGTTTTCTATATATTTATACATTATTTATGATTAGTTAACCTTAAATTTAATATTATTAATATATTATGAAATTTTTATTTGTTACCTTAGTGTATCCATATTTTTCATCCATATCTATGTGTTTCCAAAGCGCATTCATACTTGTATCCGTATCCAAGTTGTCTGATACAATACGCGATACCGATACTTTAATCCTTGGGCACGACCGAGCAGGCCATGCCGATACGGCCCAATCCGCAACCTGGCGTGGCACGACCCATATATATTATTTATATATTTATATAATATTATATAAATTATAATTATATAATAATATATAGTATATAATATATTAATAAAATAAATATTTTTTATTTTTATTATACTAATTTATTTAATTATTGTATATATAAGCAATTTTGTAGATCAAAATTCATATAAAATTAAAATTTTAAGTGTTTTTTGTCAATTTTTTAATTAAATAGCTTTGGCCCAATGCACGGCCCGACCTGGCCGAAGTCTCGGTCCACGGGTCAACCCAGCCCGTGGCACGACACAGACCCACATGGGCCTGGGTCGTGGGCCGTGCCGGGCCGACCCCCCAAGTTATCTAGAGGTAGATCGCGTGGCAGCTTCGTCTAGCTAAGGTGTCACTCGAACAATGAAAAGTAGTAGTAAGCGTGTCAATGGTCCAGTTTTGGACTGGATCTTGTTCAGTCCAAAATCAATTTTGACGGATTGAACGGACCAACAAGACATTGGATTGGAGCAATTCAATCCTAAATATTTATTAGATTGGATTGGACCTGGTCCGTCCGTAATAAATTTGTATTGGATTTGGGTTGGATTAAGTCAATATCTAGTCCATTTATATAAGATAAGAATATAGGTGTCAATGGACCGGGTTTGGGTTGAAACCAATCTAAATTAAAACGAACTTGAACAAATTGGACAATCCAAATATTGAAATGAACTAGTCCAAAATGGTCCAAAATACTTATTAAT